AGTCCTTCTTCCCCGATCCTTTAACCCTGCTCTCACATCTCCAAAGCTGTTCCTAGTCCAAAGCTGATCCAGGGCAGGAACTTCTAGGCAAGAATATATAGAAAAAAGTTTAGGGACTCAGGAGGAAATAGAAGAAAAGATAAATTTGTTTTTCCTTCTCACTGCATGTCTGTAGTTCCTTTAATGAACGCCTTTAAAAAATACTTTCATCTTAATTTCCCCTTGTAATTTCTGTCCTGCTTTTAATATCATATCTCGTCCTATTAATCGTTTCTTTTTATCCGCTCATTGAAACATTCCTATTTTATGGCAGCACTTGCTATACAATGGGAAAGAGAATAGTGAGCAGAAAACAAATATGATCCCTGGCCTTGAGCAACTCTCAGAGCTAAGAGAGAAGAGAAAAACTTAGGCATGTAATCACCAAAGATCATATGCAAAAATTTACAAGGGCTACAAGGAAAAATCAGTAGCTCTGAAAGCCTGTAAGGGGGAATTGGCCTAATTAAGAAAGTTACTGAAGGCTTCCCTGTGGGATAGCTGAGCTGAGCTCTGAGAGAAGGACTCACAGACAAAGGAAATAATATAAGCAAAGGCCCTAAGGCAGGTGAGAGCATGGTAAATGTGAGGATAGGAAGCTGAGAGAGTGAAGGTGGAACATGGTACAAATAGGCAGGTGAGTAGATTGGGCTGTGAAGGTCATGACAGACAGATTTGTCCTTATCCTAAAAATAGTGGAGATATACTGAATGTGTTTAAACCAGAGTGAAGTAATTAAAGATTAGTATTTTGAAAAGTTTCATATGGCCACCATGTGAAAAGCAGATTGGAAGAGGATAGATAGGAAGTGAGAGATGGTGGGGTTGGAAATAAATGGACAGATCGGAAAGCTGTTTAAGGAGTAAAGTTCATAAGACTTGGTTGTGAATTGGATACAGGATATGTGTCTGGGAAGGAGAAATCAAAAATGATTTCTAGACTTCTGCTTTGCAGAATGGGAAACAGAGAACTCAAGAATCAGACTTGGGAGACATAGAGAAAACTATGAGTTTCAGTCATAGAGAGTAGGGGTACCTTTGAAATATTCCACAGAAAATATCAAGTGGACAATTGGAAATATAAGGCTACAACTCAGAGGATAGATGGGAATCTTCAGTATGTTTGTTAGGCAATCATGGGTGAGATGGGGGAGGAGTTTCTTCCATAAAGAGTCTAAGATATAAATGGAGAAGGCAGTAAGTTATAAGAGGAAAACTTTTCTACCTGTAATTTTACGTTTTGTTGTGGTTTAGGAAATGAAAACAAATACTGTTTGAAGGGAACAAATATAAATTATAGGTAGGGATACAAGGAATTTGTCCCTGAGCATCTGTCACAAGTGACAACTGTTCTTGCTTCCTAATGTAAACTACTCTGGAAAATGCTGCTAAATTATGGGGAGCTTTTATTGTCTGTCACTGCATAGATATACTTTAGGCTTTTTCCTCTATTAAATATGTTGTTTTCATGGCTGACCCAGGCAGCAGTTCATTAGGTATGACACTTTTTTTTTTAATGATATGTTCTCAGTTCTCAAAAGCAACTTTTAGAAATTAGTCTTTTCAGACATTGAGTATTTTTTTTCGTCAGGATTTGTTACTCTTGGAATCAGAGATTCACAAAGGATCCATGGAACCTGCAGGAATGAAGAATCAAAAATTATGAGGGGAGTGGTCCTCAGGTTAAGATGCTCCAATGAATTGATACGAAAGTCTGTGATTACTGACAAGGTTAGCAGTGCCTTTCATTGGCACCAGACTGCAGGAATGCTCAGTAAGAAAGGCAGAGGCCTAGACCCTTATAACTTCAAAAGGGGTCTAAGGACTGGAAGAATAAACATCAGAAAGGCAGAATCCCATCTTTTGCCCCAGACCTAACAAATAAGAACCTATCCGTGGTTATTCTTAAGCAAGTGAAAATTTCAGAATCTCTGATCCAGAAATTTTATGAATTTAAGTAAGAGAGAGTTGAGGATAAAAGCCAGAGGAGAAGAAATATTGGGAATAGAAATGCAAGAAAGATGTCAAGGATTAAGAAAACTGATTAACATAAGAAAAGCAATATTCTGCCTTAGTTGAGAAAAATAGGAAAGTGGGATAGAGGAAGACACAAGAGCAGCAGTAGAAAACACTTCTCCAGAATAAAACTGGTGGCAAAGATTGGGGAGACCAAAATACACAGTTTAGAAACTCTTTTCTTTTACATATGGGGGTCTGCTTTAAATGACATTTACTTTTGGTTAAATTTGCATTTTTCCTGTAACACAGGTATACATTAATGTATAAAAATATTAACTGTTCTAATGATGATTTACAGAAAGACTTGCATTTCCACAAATAACTTGATGAGTATAAATTGGGACATGAACTTCACTAGGGTCACCATACTGTAAGTTGCTAAAACTAAGTTAAATGTCAGAGTCCAAAAATCTGTAAAACCTTGACAAAAAACTTAGTATTTACCTATAATTTTGTCTACTAACTTTGCTAAATCAATAAAATGAACCAAGAAGTTCATGTTATCAGATTCATTAGTGATTTACTGCATTCATTTTCTGATGACCATTTATCATGAAATATAGAATCTTCCAAATGAATGGGGGAAATGAAAAATTTGACAAGTTTGCTTCTTCAACTAAATATTTGATTTATAAGACACAAATGAATAAACTACTCTGGTCTGTCATGTTTTCTTAGTTGTTAATTTATTCAACCTCTGTTCAATATTGATCCTGACAAGCAGAATAGCCCAAAGATAAATTTATTCATTCCACAGTTTAGTCAGGAACAAGCCAAAAATTATAGATTTTCCCCGGCAGATGATGACAGGCAGTCAAAGGGATGACAAATGACTGTCTTTAGATTTAGTAAGGACAGTTGGGCCAGACGTTTCCGATAAAGATTGGAGCATGCTGGTCAAATACAGGTTCATCAGTGGTCATCATTAATCGTGGAAAGAGCATTGCTGTACTGCAGATGTCCATACAGGAGCTTAAGCACCAGCCCTGCTGAAGAAACAGAATTGGCTCTTCGGTATTTTGTGGCACTCCTCTAAGTGATAGCATGACATGATCATTTATCAAACAGAGACTGTCCAGAAAAGTGTCTGCTTCCCTTAGTAACTTATTGAAGGGCAGGAAAGTGAAAGCATTTTATTAAAGACAGGAAGGCAATGAACAACCAGAGCGTATCCAAAGGGTAATCGTATTTCAGCACAGGATTAGTTTAGTCTTAAGTAAACATACACTGCAGGGACTATGTTGTGGGTCATTTATCAAGTGACGAATAATTAACAAAACTCTAAACATTCTTTTTATCTCTATTGATTTAAAGTTCTATTATTGTTATTATTTAACTTTTGGATGATAGGCATTATACTCAGTACTTACAAAAATAAAATGCAAAATTCCTTCCTTAGAGGCTTTAAGAGTGAGAAAAATACAGAGTAACTCATATAAAATAATCATAACTGGCTGTATTAAATGCTGTTAAACTCAGAAAGAACAAACTCTAAGGCTAAGGGTTGAAGTTATAATCTGTGACTAGAACTTTAATATAAAAGTAAGCTATTTCTTTGTCAGTAGATCAGAAGTTTCTTCTTCCTTAAACTTTTGCTATGTTGAACAAAATTAAGAGAAATAGAGTTAGGAAAAGAGTAGCAGCAAAGGCAAACAATCAGAGAACTAACACATTTATGATTTACCTTCTTTGTTCCTTGTATTTTATATGCCATGGCAATTAATCCTAATAATTACCCTCATGTTATAAATGAATACATGACACAGGTTTGCCTACGGTCACACAGGAAGCAACAGTGCCGGGAAATTTAGGATTGCCTTTTAAGACTCCCTATGTTTTCACACAGATTACAGTATTTATTTGGATTCCTTAAAGTCAAGCACAGACTAATGTCTGTGTGTATCACAGACTAAATTCTGTCTATATATCCAAAGGAAATAAAATCACTATTTGAAACACATATATGCACTCCTGTGTTCATTGCAGTACATTCACAGTAACTAAGATGTGGAAACAATGTAAATGTATAACTTTTTTGGAGCAATTCATTACAGATTAAATTTATCTAATTTTAAAATAAAAACCAGAACATTAGGGCATATAAAGAAATACTCACTATATTTCATTTTCACTAAATAATGATTAAACGTATTTTAAAGAGTAGGAAAGTGAGAAAACAAAATGAATGAAAGACAAAGAGCTGGCAGGAGGGGGAGGCAGTAACAGTGGATGGGAAAAGAAAAATGAGAACGGTTAAGAGGGAAACAGAGAGCTGGTTCCTATGTGCCATTAATCTGTTTGCCTTGCATTCATTTAAGGAATTTACCATGAAATAATGTCATCATTCCTTGAAGTGTCAACTAGCTGATTTTCTTACAAGCTATAAAAGCATGCAAATATTTACAGATAACAACAATAACAATAAAACGGTACTCACAGCATGACCAAAAAAAGTCTCTCTACTCGAAAAAGAGTAGAAGAGTGTATAACAATATATTAAAAGTGATCTTTGGATAATAAGCATGCAAGTGGTATTTTCTTCCTACTTTCCTTTAATAGTTTTCTGCACTTCACAAATAAAAGGCAACAATATATATTCTGTGTAATGTTAACAGACTGTTTACTTACTACTGTTCAATTGCCTTAAACTGTAAGCTTTTATAAATTCCACTAAATAGGGCACCTTCTGAAGCAAAAAGCATTTTCTAATCTTCAATTTTGGTCTATTTAAAGGAAGTATGACCAAGTACAACCAGATGGAATCTTCCCAGCTCACTTTTTGTTTCACTTATAGCCTCTTCTACTAGCAGTCAAAACTTCGTATGTATCACCTAAAAAAAATGGCACTGAGCTAGAATTCTATGAAAAACAATAAAAATGGTTAACTGACATACTGCATAATTATGAAGCACTTATGTCATGTATTTTCTTCTCTAATTATAGGATTTAGAGTTTTTACTGAACAAGTTGACAAAACTACGGAAAATGGATCTCAGTGGAAATCCTGTTTGTCTCAAACCAAAATACAGAGACAGACTGATATTGGTGTCCAAATCACTGGGTAGGTCTTTTATATTAATATAACTTTCTTAGAGATAGGATCTGGTGAAATGTTTAATTTGTCAGTAAGCTTTGAAATATAAATATGACATCTTGATTGTGAAAATGTTCAACTTTAGGTTAAGTATTTTAAACAAGACCTAAAGTTAAAATTGAGAATTATTCTTGAAAACTTGAAAAGTATCTTTCAGAAATAATTAAAGTACCAAATACTCTTTAAGAATAAAATGTGGCTATTAACAACAAAAAAAGGCTAGTCATAAATATGTACAACTTTCTGGGGTTTTGATAAACTTTCAGTGGCACAAATCCTCTGATGATCCCAAGGGACTCCCTTAGCTCTTTGTCCTGCAGATAAAATTAATCAAGTTTTTATTGCTTAATGTTTGCCAAGTAATATCCTAAAAACACATAATTACTTTTCATTTGAAAAGGAAACAGCCTGAGGAGATCTTTTATGAAGCAATTGCAAATAATAATATTTCTGAATACATAATATGACAGAAAAATGTACAAAAAGTACTTGATTAATGATGACCAAATTATATGGCATCAAAAAGAATGAGCAGTGCTATCTCATGACAATTCCCTGTGTGAGAACCACTGTGACATACTATGCTTGGGTATAAAAAGTAATGTATGCTGTGCACCATGTTGCATGCTTTTAAACCCAGCTATTCAGAAAGCAAGGGGATCATAAGTTTAAGGCCAATCTGATCAGTTTAGCAAAATAAAAAATAAAAAGAATGAGGATGTAGCTCATGTGAAGACTTGAATAATTCCCAGTCCCATAAAAAGCAAACAAACAAAATTAACAATAACAAAACCATTTCAGAACTTACAACTATAACTTTGATTAATCATAATCCGCCCCCCCCAGGGCAGTGGTCCTCTGAAAGGACAAAAGGCACATCAAAAAGATGCAAGACATTTTTTGCAAAATGTAAGTGCAAAAATCACACCCAGCCTGCACAGTAAGAAACAGTAAATATACTGGGAGAACAGTCATACACATTTTTTGAAGCTCTACTTATACATCCCCCATTCCATCCTGTCATCCTTTCCCTTCTCTCCCCACTACATATTTTATTAGTCCACTTTCCTCACAAGCAGAGTTAAGACAATTAATGTCTGGTGATAAAGGAACTCCTAATGATTACGAGACCATTTCTACAAATATTTCTCACTGACAATACTGTAGGTAAGATGTGAAAATCTGGGTGTGGTGGTGCAGACCTGCAATTCTACCTACTTGGGAAACTGAAACAGGCAGATCGCAAGTTGGAGCCCAGCCTGAGGCATTGACATGAAGAAGATACTGGGGAGGGTTTTTGGCTTTTTTGTTTTTGTCTTTTTGAGACAGGATCTTGCTCTGCAGTGTAAGCTGATTTTGAGCTTACTCTGTAGCCCAGGCTGGTCTTGAACTTGCAATGATCCTCTCCTGCCTCAGCCTCAGTTACCCCGGATTGCTGGGATTACAGGCGTGTGCCACCATGCATGGCTGAAGAAAATGTTGTTGTAAAAGATTTGGGTTTGTTATTCTTTAGAGAGGCATTGTCTCAAAATAGAAGTTTTTTAAAGGGTTGGGAATATAGCTCAATGATAGAATGCTTGCCTACCTGGCACTTACTTAAATCCTCAGTACGAGAAAAAAAAAGTGGCAATAGCTTTGCTGATTACCAGATAAAGAGAACTTATTCAAAGTTATTTTGAGTAAATCTTTTCTACAATATAGTTTATGATTTAAAAATGAATATAGATTTTACTGCAAGAATACAAAGAAAATCAGTATCACTGCTATAAAATTTTAGTATATGTTCTTTAAGTTTTTTTCTATGTACAGATACAAACATAATAAATTTCTTTTTATTTTAGCTTTTTTTATTCTCATGTCTTTCTTTTTAGTAAATGTAAAACTCAAAAACAAAGTTAATTGAGGGCCTGGTTTGATGTATTCCAGGATAGACTTACTGGGAGCCATTTTGTGTTTTGTAAGTTACCCATTTCTTGCTAGTTAGAACAAGCCTATTTCATGTTTAGAGAAGCTCAATAAAATGAAATAAATTTCTTAAGACCTTGTGTCTTAGGAGGCTTCCCCTTCTAAACTGCTTCCACACGTAACAACCTCAAATAGGATAATTTGCTAAAAATGAGACAGAATCAGATTACCCAAGGCACAGTTTCTTAGTCATTCCTAGTTTGGTCTGGAACATTAACACAAAGAAGATATTGTGATAACAGATTTGGAGCTTGCTTTCTTCTAAAAAATTTTTTTTCAGCACTGAGCATTGATCCCAGGGTCTCATGCATGCTACGTTAGGCAAGGACTGTAACACTGAACTACATCTTTATCTTTTTTTATTTTTAATTTTGAGACAATATCTTGCCAAGTTGCCTAGGCTGACCTCAAACTTGCCATCCTCCTGCCTCAGTCACCTGAGTAGCTGGAATTATAGGAATATATCACTATGCCCAGCTCATTCCTTATCTTTATAACAGAGGTTTATTATATATAGATTACATATATACAGCCTAATAATAAGCTAACAAATCATACAATTATTAATAAAAGCAAATCTGAAACACATCAATAAATACAATTAAGAAAACTGAGCTTAAAAGAATGATCTTTAATATATATGTTAAAATTACTAAGATGTATAATGATAAAACGTTTAGTTAATTCTTCAAATTATACTTTGGAAATTCCTAGTTAAAAATATACATGAGACAAGATACGAAGACAATTTTATACTTCTAGAATTTATGGTTCTAGTTTAAATAGTTGCCTATTCCTTATTAGTGATTTTGCTTTCCATAGTTTTAACTGTCCAAGGCAACCATCAACAGAAACATATTATAGTACAATATTTTGACAGAGAGAATACCACATTCACTTTTATTAAAGTATCTTTCTGTAATTATTCTCTTATTAGTTACTGTTGTAAAGCTCCTACTGAGCCTAATTTATGAACTAAAAATTATTCATTATATGTCATGTAGAATAATGATGGTATTTATGGAGTTCTGTACTATATTCACTTTCAAGAAAACTTACTTTTACAAGTAAGAGTTTTTGTTTTGTTTTGTTTTGTTTTTGGTACCAGTGATCGAAGTCAAGACCTCGCACTTTCCAGGCAGGCATTTATGCCACTGGGCTAAATCCTCAGCCCCAAGTAAAGTATTTTTAGGTATTATTATTATTTTTTTTTTTTGTCTTTTTCCTTTTTATCGGTACCAGGGATCAAACTCATGACTGCCTGCTTGCAAGGCAGGCGCTTATGCCGCTGAGCTAAATCCCCAGCCCCCCAAGTAAAGTATTTTTAAAAGACATTTATTTCATTGATTGTGTAACTTAAGTTCAAATGCACCCTAATCAGAAGTGCATTATTTATGTATATGTTTATTTTTAAAACATATGTATTTTTCTTTAGAATATCTTGATGGAAAAGAAATAAAAAGTGTGGAAAGACAATTCCTAATCAATTGGAAAGCATCCAAAGATGCCAGAAAAGTCAGCAAGAAAAAGAGCAGTAAAAACGAAGATACAAGCAACTCTTAGATAAGTAAGCACATCATCACTCCTTAATTTATGACCTGTGTTGAAAGAATAAATTAAGCAACAAAATACTGTGAAGAAACAAAATTTTTTGCTTAGAGTCATTTTAGGGTTTTTTAACCTACTCACTTGTGAATGAAGATAAATGAAGATAATTATTAGTAAATTTCACTATAAAAATGATAGCTGTGTGAACAAAACTTGTCTTTAGTAGTATGTATGACTATCTGCCATATAAATATAGAACCATGATATGAGAAAAATGGGTAATTTTATTCTAGTGCAAATCCACAATGTGAATTATATAAATGGTAAAAACATAGTCAAATAAATGGTAAAATTTAAGTTACTAGTATATTTGTTCAGCAACAGTATCAAAATTAAAATACAAAGGTACCACAAAAAAATGTTCTTTCAGGATAGAAAATAAAAATGTATCACAGCCAGATAACATGATCTTTTACATAAAAATCCATAAACCCACCAAAAGACTCTGAGAATTAATAACCAAATTCAGCAAGATAACAGGCTATAAAATCAACACACAAACATCAATAGCATTCCTGTACACCAATAATGAGCCCACCAACAAAGAAATTAGAAACGACATTCATAATAACATTAAGTAAACTTAGAACACTTAGGAATTAACCTAACCAATGAAGTGAAAGGCCTCTACAATGCAAACTACAGTTTCTGAAAGAGGAAATCAAAGAGGGCATCCGAAAATGAAAGATATCCCATTTCTGGATAGGTAGAACCAATACTGTCAAAATGGCCATATTCCCAAAACTGATATATAGATTTCATGTAATCCCAATCAAAATACCAACAACATTCCTAGTAGAGCAACGACAACAACAAAAAGATCCTAAAATTCATATGAAACCAGAAGAGACTCAAAATAGCAAGCAATCTTCAGCAACAAGAGCAAGGCAGAAGATATCACAATCCCATACTTCAAGTTACATTACAAATCTACAGTGATAAAATAGTATGGCACTGCCACAGAAATGAGATGTGAATCAGTGAAACAGAATAAAGGATGCAGAAACCATAGGCCATCTGATTCAGGCCATTCAGTCATCTTTGAGAGAGGGGCCAAAAACATGCTGGAGGAAAGAGCCTCTTCAGCAAATGGTGCTGGGAAACTGGTTCTATGTATGCAGAAGATTAAACTTAAACCTATATCTCTGACTATATACTACACTAAAATTCAAATGAGTCAAAGATCTAAATAATAAAGCAGAAACACTTAACCTGCTGGAAGATAAAACAGGTAAAACTCTTAAAGATACAGATGTAGACCAGGACTTTCTGAATAGAACCTCAATTGCACAAGAAATAACAAATACCAACAAATGAGACTATATCAAATGAAAAAAGCTTCATCAGAGCAGAGGAAACAACAGAGTGAAGAGACAACCTACAGAATGGGGAAAACTTTTGCCATCTATACTCTAACAGAGGACTAATGTCTAGGAGTATCCTAGAAATGACTCTTCACAAATTTTGTGGTCCAAAACATTGGAATGAGCCTCTTTCTTCATTGCATGATAGTGCTTGAATATTGATATTCTTATTTCATAGCTGATTATAGCAGAATATGGGGAATTAGAATATAAAGAAGTCAAAAAATTAGACCCCCCTCCCAACTGAAATTAACAGGCACTTCTCAGAAGTATGAAAGGTCAATAAATACATGAAAAAATGTGCAACATATTTGGCCATTAAAGAAATGCAAAGTAAAATGATTAAGAGTTTATCTTACTCCAGGAGGAAGGCTATCATCAAGAAATCAAATAATAACAAATGCTAACAAGGCTGCAAGGGGAACCCTTCTATACTGTTGATGAGAATATATACTGCTTTGGATATTAGGGTAGAGAGAGATTCCTCAAACTAAAGACAGAAATTCCATTTGACCCAGCTATTCCCCCCTTTATAAGTATCTCCTCAGAAGAGTTAAAGACATCATATTACAGTGATACATGTATATCCATATTTCTACAGCACAACTCATAATTACTAAATCTTGGAAGCAGACTGACACATAAAAATGACCAAGTATATGGAAAAGTGCTCAATATTAGTAGTCATCAAGAAAATGCAAATCTAAACTACAATGAATTTCACCTTATGTGTCAGGATGGCAATTATAAATAAAAGGGGTAGTGGGTATACTGGAGGTGTACTTCACTGATACAATTTTTTGTTAGCCAGTGAAACATTCCTACAGGAATAAACACACACACACACACACACACACACACACACACACTCACACACACACACAGTATTGGCAAAGATGTGGAGAAAGTAAACTTCTGTACACTATTAACTAGAATGCAAAATGGTGTAGCCACTAAAGAAAACAGTATGGAGGCTCCTCAATAAGTTAAAAATAGGGGGGCTGGGGATTTAGCTCAGTGGCATAAGCACCTGCCTTGCAAGTGCACGGTTGTGAGTTCAATCCTCTACTGATAAAAGAAAAAAAATAAGTTAAAAATAAATCAAGCCTGGTAGCATACCCTTAATCCCAGATTCTCAGGAGGCTGAGGCAGGAAGATCACAAATTGGAGATAAGCCTGGGCAACTTGGGAAGACCCTGTATCAAAATTTAAAAATTAAGTTAAAAGGGATAGGGATTGTAGCTCAGTGTCCGAGTGCTTACCTAGCCTTAACAAGGCTCTGGGTTCAAGCCCCAATATTGCAAAAAAATAAAGTTAAAAACAGGACTATTGTATGATCCAGCAATCTCACTTTTACGTGTGCAAAGGAAGAGACATCGGAATCTCCAACAGATATTAGCACCTATCTCATGGCAGCACTAAATCCCTGGACAGACAAATGAATAAAGAAAATAGAGTATATACATAAAATGGAACATAGAACAGTATTCAGCCTTTTAAACAATTCTACAATATGTTATTAACGTAGATGAAATGACACCTTTGGGCTAATGAGGCTAGTCATTCAAAGAAAATATTACATGATTTCATTTATATAAGGTATCTAAACTTCTGTAGTCAAATTCATAGACTCAAAGAATGAAAATCTGGTTGCCACTGGCTGGAAGGGAGGAAATGTCAAGTTACTCATCAGGCATAAAGTTTTAGTCAAGCAAGATAGATAAGCTCTTGAGATTTGCTGTACAGCACTGTTCCTAAAGTCAGGAGGGTAGATCTCACATTCGAAGTACTTGCCAGAACTTCCTAGAGTCATACAGAATGTGATAGCACAGAAAAGTCACTTCATATTTTCCTGTAGTTGTTATTATGATAATCATGAATAATTTAACATGGAACACCATGGGGCCTAGGAGGAAAAGAAAAGGAGGCAAAACAAGAAAAGAGAGCTGGCATTTACTATGCTAAACATTTCAAATATTCACATATGCTACTGCATTTAGTCATGGGGCACATAACTGTATGCATTTTGTAGATGAAAAAGCTGAGTTTCAGAAAGATGAAGTACTTCGTCTAAGGTCACAATGTGAGCAGAGGCACAATGAAGCAGATCTTGGCTACCTGAAGCAGATCTGTCAGCTACTAAACGCTCTAGCACTGACTGGCAGAACTATGGTTATGACTACTTTATTGAGAAATTCATCTTAGTTTAGTGGGAATTTAGGAAAATCTTCAGATAGAAAATTGTGATACATAAACAACACCTATAAGTAAAAACTAGGAGAAAATGGGGTAATACATTATGAAACAACTTCTAATTTAATGTAGGTATTCAAACCAGCTTATTTACTACCCTGAAAAATGGACGGTAAGATGAATTAGATTAAAATTTAAAATAAAAGGCTGACCAGCTATCATAATTATCTGCCTTTCTCAAGGGTTCTTACTCCTTTGAACAGTTTGGAACCCCTCATCCTTGCCCCCTGCACATTTGCCCTGCACATCCTGATAGTATAGAGCTGCACTTCTCAGTAAAGTCAGTGACACCATGGATGTATTTATGTAATATGCAATAACTTCGTCCTTATGTATATACCAATAATATACTCCACAGTCTTTACACAAAACATTTTACTTCTACTAAAATGAACAGAAATGAGTAAATTAAAATCTAGAAGGTATATTGTATAATTTTAAAATCTACCTCATTTCTTTTAGGTCTTTAGAAGAGCAAAGATGAACCCTTTAAAGGTATCTCTGTCAACGAAGTATTTTATAAGAATAGGAATTACTGGCAGGACAGTTTTTTTTTAATCTTTGTACATCCTAATCTTATACCTATTTCATAAGAGTTGAATGTAAACTTTCCTGTGTAGGCTTTTTTTTTTTTAAATAAAAAGGCCTGGGCTGGGGATTTAGCTCAGTGGCTTAGGTCCCTGCTTGGCAATTGCGAGGTTGTGAATTCAATCCCTGCTACCAAAAAAAAAAAAAAAGAAAAGAAAAAAGAAAATGTTGTGATACTTTGTCTTAGATTTCATTATTCATTTTACTGTGGCTCTACTTAGCTTTATTTAGTTCCACCTTATAAAATTTTGAATAATTTAATATTGTTATCTGTCATATTTACAATTTAGTTATTAGTTTCAAAGCAATTCTTTGTAAGTTATAGGTAACGTTGAAACAATGTATCAAACAATTGCTATTCACTATCTACAGATGGCAAACAGAAGTTAAGTCTTTTATTCTAACATAAAGAGATAACTTATAAATGGAAATTCATTCTCCAGAAAGCTCCCAAGAGATAACGCTAAAATTACTAAAGACATGGGGCAGGTTCCTTGAAATATTTATGGTTTCTCTTTTTCAGGGCGATAGAACATCTTTACTGTCAACAATACAGATGGAAGGACATCTTCTGTCACCTACTGCTTTCTCTTCTTGATCCTTCTAGCACAATAAAAAAAAAAGTTCCTTATTAGTCCAAATAGTCATAATGTTGCAGTGGGAAGGGTGGTTCAGCCAAGAGTTATGAGTTAAATACATTCACTGAAGTAACTAAGGAAAGTCCCAGAAGATTCAAGTATAGGTGTCTGAATGATCAGGGATCATATTAGAGGACCCAGACACCCCAGTTGATGATAGGTGGACAACCACTTGGCGGGCAGGGGGCAGTGGAAGGTGACTGTAATAATATTTACTGGTTGTAGAAAAGAGGAGTCCAAAGAACCAGGCAGGCTCCTTTCATTACTTTTCCTAACTAAAGATTCTTAACCTCATGTCTCTGGAGACATTAGACTTTGAAAGAAGTTTATGGTCTGTCTTGGTTACTTTTCTTTCCTTGCTGAGGCAAAATACCCGACACCCAAAATTGAGGAAGGAAAGTTCACAGTTTTTAAAGGTTTCAGGTCATAATCGGCTGGTTCCAAGGCAGGGTGGCATGGCACGGGGCAACACTTGAAGGTAGCAGAAGAGAGCAAAGCAACAAGAGCAAAAAGGAGGAAGAGAAAACCTCTTTTCCTCCTTTGTACAAGATGGAGGCCATACCCTGGCCCCTAGGACGGGTATAGCACTCACAATATGTTTGCCTTCTCTTGCACAGGAGGGTATTTACAAAGTAAGGATCCTGGCTCCCCCGTTGAGTCTCTTTGTTAAAGTTCTAAACTTCTCAAGTTGACACAATGTATCAACCATAAAAGTCCAAAAATTGTCTAAGAATCAATATTCTAAACCTTGAATCTATCCATAATTTATCTCCATATGAATCAGTTCTAACTCTCCTGAGAAGAAAATCTGTTTTAGTTTTTAAAAGATGGTACTGCTTCCCTGTAGGAGTAAACCATAACTTCATTTATTCTAAAACAGATGCCTACTGAATGCTAGGAGTCACATATAAAAATTCCAGCATAACAACCCTAATCTCAAATATCTTGCAATAAGTTATGTGAGGGGTTAAATATGATATAATTACTATATAATGTGATAAACGCTGTAGGCATTATAAACCAGACCCTAATATAGACCATAAATGTTTCATTTAACTTAATTTTTTCACTTCTAATAAGTACAATGATTGAATCATTGATATTTTTAATCATGAGTCATTATAATATAATGGAGGGCAATATCATATTTCATTGAGAAGGTGATCAGGGCCAGTAGGCAAACTTTGGGATAGTTTTTATATTCTCAGAACTGCCTGCTGAAAGATAGACGAGTTTCTCAAGAGAGCTTCTTTTTAGGGTCCAGTCCAGAAATAGTAACTCAGCATCTCTAGCAGAGATCCCCTGAAGAAACCCTGTGAACAACACTGCTGTATATCATCTACTCTTATTCCACATAGAGCAGTTTAGGCTTGGGGATGCAGCCTTAGCATTTGCTGTAATTTCTACAAAAAAGAAGGCTACACAGAGAGTCCTAGTTTTGATCTTGCCTCATCTCTATTTCACAATAAAATGGAAACTAGGTGAAAATTTGCTTTATTACTTATATACATTGCTTTTACCATCAAAGCCACAGCTAGTTTGTCCATGGCACCATGAAAGTTTCTTAAAGATTTACACAACTGGTATCAATTTTATAACACACTGTTCCTGACACTTCTCTTTGCCAGGCATTTTGAAAAATCATGCTAGTATATCAAAGTAGAAAATAAAACAATAAAAATATACTCAACCTAAGAAAACAAAGTTAGTGAATTTTACATAGTATCACATACGCTAAATTAGATCAGTAGTGAACTGTGGCACATATCATAGTGTAAAGCTCCCTAGGAGTATACTGGTAAAACAACAAATAAATCACTCAACCGTCATTTACCTAAATATAGAACAAAATCCACTTTAAGTCTAAACTACTCTGCAATTCCAGGTACGCTGCAGTACACAAAAGCCAGCAGGAAAAAGAGCTCTTGGGAGAAAAAGACAAAGGAACAAATTTTGCTTCTGCAACTGTCCATGAGGCTGATCATGTTCAGTCCTTTTTTTTTTTTTTTTTTAAATCGGTAAATTGAACTCACGACCACACAAGGCAGGCACTTATGCCACTGAGTTAAATCCCCAGCCTTGATCATGTTCAGTTCTGAGTTTCCAGGTTTTTTTGGTTTTTTTTTTTTTTTTTTTGTCTTTTTCAGTACCAGGGATCGAACTCACGACTGCCTGCTTGCAAGGCAGGTGCTTATGCTGCTGAGCTAAATCCCCAGCCCCTGAGTTTCCAGTTTTATCCTGGGAAGAAGATACTACATCAATGTTTCCTTTTAAATGATATTACTTCATTGGGTAAAACTTTCATTCTGGTTATGTCAAAATATTACTTGGGTATCTCAAAAGATTTAAGTTTTATTTGATATAGAACTATCAGTTATGTGTCTTTTTAATAAAGGGCAACCAAATACATGATGGAATTTCATAAAGCTTTTGATATAGATTTTAAGGGTGTGCTTATTGCCAACATTTTAGTCATTTAACATGAAGTTAAAAGACAATGAGAATAAATCTAGATGGTCAGTAAAGTAATAAAAACAAAGTGCCCAGGCTGGGCATGCAGCTCAGTGGCCTAGGACTTACATGAAGACCTGGGTTCAGTCCCCAGTACTGCAAAAAAAGTTTTAATTTCTAAAAAATTGATTAAAGCAAACCTTCCCATCTTTCCCTTAATTACTTTAAGGGAGAGAATGAGCTGGCATGAGCATACATGTCCCTGATAGTCTGTATTTAGTATACAAGGTGATGAAGCTTGCAAAGCAGTAGAAAAGAACTTAGATTACATGTTCCCCCTGAGCCGAAAGTATGTGCTCCACAACTCCTTCAAGTTTCTACATACTAGAAACTGTGCCTGTGTTCTGTGTAGAGCATACATCTGTCCAAAGACAGGGGAATGTTTTCTGCCTCTTTAATAAATGCATACAGCCTGTGCTTATGTGTATTTACACAAGCCTACTTTCCCTACAGGGAGTAAAAGTCAGACTCATTGACGTTGTTTTTGACCCTCAGACTGAACTTGATACTATCAATGTACATTTTAAATAAAGACTACAGCAAAACTTTTTTATTTAAAGGTTGATTCTGAACAAATATCTTTGCTGTTAAATTAAAAGTTATTAATAAAATAAAGATAAAATTATTGCTTCTTTATACAGTAAATATTTTTGACAGTTCCTTTTTTCAAATAAGCAAGGAAGTGCATGAGCTTTAATAATTTAAAAATAGATATTAAATATACTTATATATAAGATCCACTGAGAGTACTGTATGGCACTGTACAATGAAAAAGACAAATTATTACTTGAATACTTAACTGTCTTTCAAGCTCAAACAGTGTTGATAGAGTCAATCTATCTCTTTTGTTAATGTAAAAATAACTTTCTAGCTGAATTAGAATGTTCTTGGTTTTAGATGCTTTTAAGGAATGTCACTCTCTAAAACACATTAGCTCACAGGAAATAGTCACTGTATATTATTTAGCTACTTCTAAAAATGGCTAGTATCTCTTGCTAGAATATAGCTGTATTAGGTTTCTTTAAATTAAAAAGTGAACTCTAATACTTAAAATAACTTCCTTCTCCTTTGTTGTGTTTGAAAAGTTGTAACAACAGTTACAACAACGATTCTTTCTGATTACTCCACAAAGAATTTTTTTTTTTTTTTTTTTTTTGTCTTTTTATCGGTACCGGGGATTGAACTCACGACTGCCTGCTTCCAAGGCAGGCGCTTATGCTGCTGAGCTAAACCCCCAGCCCCCAGAAAGAATTTTTTAAACTCAGATATTAAGATGTTCTTGTATAAACTCAAAATGTTGCAAAGTTCAAAATGTCTTTAATTTTGCTTTGCTAAAATCAACCCTAGTCTAATATTAGATGCAAAATAAACACGTATATCAGTAAAATAGGTATGATAACATTTTTATTTGCAATTCTCAAAGAACTCCCTTGAAATTAGAATACTCACCTGAGAAAAACAGCAACAGTGGTAAGCAACATAAAGTAGTTTTGGTTACAATAGACAAAATTTTTGTGCTAACATCTCTATCGGTGGTTTACTCTGTAAGTTATTACATAAGACCTAAATCAAAAGAACTGTAGCAGTTATTTTCCATTTTTTAAATACCTACATTTTAAAAGTTGAATCATCACCCAAACAAAAACTTTAAAATATTGGAACTATTTGAGAAAAAAAATACTTTCAGCCCATTTCACAGGGGCTGTAACATAGAAATACTTAAACACATTTAAAGAAACCCAGTCTCTCCAGCAGCCAAATTCTCAACTGCTCCACTAAGTCTCAGACATATTCTGAGATACAGGCAGGAGGTCAGTAAGGAAAATAGGTAAGGAGGTAGCTAAAGTGAACTGGAGAACTTATGTCCACTTAAAGGTAACCACAGCTACTGAGTTCCAGAACAGTGTGAGCAGGTTAAACGTGGTAAACTTGAAAAATCACAGTAGCTGGCAATTAAGATATCTAGGTTATAAAATCACCCAATTTAAAATTACTGGCTCAACTGTTATTTTTTAAAACAACCTGTATTAGAATTAATATAAAGAAAAAATACCCTACTGATACTGGCTAGGTGTTAGAGCAACTGGAACTCTCATGCCCTACACTACTGATGGGAATCTAAATATCTGCTATCTACTTTGGGCAATAGTTTTAACATATTTTACAAAAGTGAAACATACATGTACCACATAAAGTAGTCTCATTCCTAGGTATTTTCCAAAATACAATGAAAAACTATACTCACAAAAACCTGTCGGTGAATATTTATAGTGGTTTATTTGTAATGACCAAAAACTGAAGACAACCCAAAGGTGTCTCAACTGAGAAATGGAACAGAATGTAAAGAAAAAGAATGTATCATTGATATATTTAACATGAATGGATCTCACAAGCATTAGGCCAAATGAAAGAAGCCAGGCTCAAAATACTACACACTATATACTTCTTTTTGTGTGACATTCTGACAAAGGCAAACCCATACCGA